GTGTAAAGTGAATTAAAGAGTTAACTTCGGTAATTCAATCGGCAGTTTTTATTGTCACGAACCTCAAGCTCGTAACAATATCATTCAGCCGCTAGTTGAACGGCGCTGTTTCACCCTGTCGTACGAATGGCCTAAGCATAACCAGCCAGTTTATTAAATGTTGTAACAAACGGTACGGCTGAATATCATTTTTTTCAATTGCCTCCACCTGGCCGCTGGGGCTTCGGAGAACATCTCGAGCACCTAATTCCCCGGAACAACAGGGTAGTTTTAAGATGGGTTCCGGGTCACGCGGGTATTATAGATGATGAATGAACTTGCAGACAAACTTGCACGGGTGAGCTCAAAGAGTACATAATTTGGACCACAATAAATCACTTAAGATCTGGTCTGACACATCAGGTTTAAAACATTCTAAAGCCTTAATTCGAGCTTTTGATCGTTAATTCGTTTCAGAGTTTCAGAAGCCCTGGGATTAATTAAAAATAAATTTCGCACTGTGGCAGGAGCCTGACTGGACACTTATCTTAAAAAGCACTTGTCCATCTTGAGACTAAGCAAGTTGAGGATGTGCCGGTTCTGTTTCTTAACAGAAGAAACGCCTGTGTACATCTTAACGTATTGCGGACTCATCTGGAAAGCTACTGTACTCCGCCCAGAGGAAGTGAAATTGCTCACAGCTAAGCAACTCCTATTAATTGAAAACGTTAGATTTAGCAGTGAACTATGGCCGTAGCAGCGATCACAATAGATCTTTTAGGTCGCATTGGACCTGCATAGCTGCTCGCACATAATTAAAAAAATCCCCCGGATCGAACTTTCAAATTTGACCGCATATTTCAAAGTAACCCTGTGTATGTTAATTATTAACTAAATCCTAATTATCCTTAAGTCGCCAGGTTTCTAAGATACAGTTATTACACCTAGTTAAGAAGCCAGGGTTCCATTTAATTGTTAGTGTTAAATTTTAATTGTTAGAGTAAAAGATTTGAGGCAAATAAATAATTTATTATTACTATTGAATTGTTTTGTTTCAGATTTGGGCTTAAATACAAATCCAGTTGTTCCGCAGCAGTCATAGTTACATTCCTGCAAGTTGTCAGCTGTGCGCGGCGTCGCGACGCAGCGACGGCCGCCGGGCGCGCGCACCGGCGCACCGCGGATTGTAGTTGATAGTTGTCGCAGCAGACTCCTGCCTGTTGCCTGTTAAATAACTGTTGATTTTAGCTGAATGTGTTAGTGAAGTGTGATTTTTCACAATGAGACAAAATGTTAGGGAAAGATCTGTTACGAAATGTTGTGTGCAATAAATCTCAATCATAGGTAGTTAATGAGTCCTAAACCACCGCGGTTGTTTTAAATTATTTGCTATTTATAATTATTATTATTTGTTACTAATGGATTTCTAATAATTAATTATTTGAAAAAAAAAAACAGGTTTTGTTCTATTTTAAGAAGTTATTTTATGGAGTAGATAATGTCCCTAAAGAGCGAACTTCGGTCGCGGTGGCGAGGTCGTGGTCCCCACGGTGACTAGCAGACACAACCAGCGAGGGGACGGACGCAGAAGCAACGGCTTCATGTGCTTGCCGAGGCACGAACATCTTCCTGACTGCGGGTTATTACTGACAATTTCTTGATAGGAAAACCTAATTCATTTCGACCTGGCATTCCACCACACTATCAGTAATCGCGGTTCGATAACTAGACCGATGAGGCGGTCGCAAGTCAAAGTAGAACTAGTGTTACACAACTCAGTATCAATAAGCTATAGATAAGAAAAACATGCACGCACATAAGAATCCAGACCCTGAATAATATTTAATTTTTGTAGACCTTGCAATTACTCGTTCCGTGCGAGAATCAAACCCGTAGCCCGTAACGCCACCGCCAAACTTAGCCACTTCACGTACCGCTTAGGTTTTAGGAAAGAAAAGTTTGTTTCAAGATATGAGTGGCATGACACCATGTAGCCACAGGTCGGTGTTGCAAGTGAAGGAAGGGCTTGCCATCCCTTCAATAGACGGAGAGACGTTCTTGACTTCTCTGACTAAAGCAGGAAGTTGTAGATCCCGGTGATATCTTGTTCGTTCCGCGCTCTTCGATACCCTTTACGTGGTAACAGTTCAATTTCTCGTTGTTACCATGCTCTAATAAAAACCAAGACCTTGTAAATGAAAATATTTCAAATGAATTTATTACATTATAAAATCCCTTGGTTATAAAAAGTAAAGTTACAGCCTATATATGTCCCAATGCTCACAGGTCTCGTCTCATTTTTGATCTTTTATAGTAAGGAAATATTAGCCCCGATTTTACATGTCTTTGAATTTTATTTTTTTAATTTCTTTGACATGCCGGTTTCCGTACGATGATTTCGTTCACCGCCGAGCACATGGTAAATCGCTATAAAATTGACGGTACGCAGTGAGCTCCCCGGGATTAGGGTCTACTCGTTCGTACTGTGAAGTTTATAGTGAGCACTTAGCCCCTGAGATAACATTAATACGCAAATACTCAAACGTTACTCTATTTGAAGATGCCGAGACGCGAGAGTCTCGCGCTGTCTCTAACACTTTAAGTCCAAGTCACTGGGACAACACGAGACTTAACCACATCTAAAAAGTTGAGTAGCGTTTGAGTATTTGGCCATTACACTATAAATCAATACCAATTATATTATAAATTAATCTTCATTTGAAATTTATAATTATGTTCTTTATGTATAATTTTATTTTAGTACAATAAAGTCGCAATCCCTAAGAACCCATTTTGTGTTATTTATTATAAGATGTTGAGAAAGCGCTTGCTGTTTCTTAGACTAATAGTACATTGTTGTCTGTAGAAATTATAGTTATGTAAATTATGTAGTTATACATTTTACTGATTAAAGGATATTCACGTCGGTATCTATTTCACTTAACTACATATCCCTTTTATGTTAAAGTTCAGAAATAGAAAGAAACAGATTTTATTTGGCACATGCAACACACTCAAGTGGATTACATAAAACACATAACATTTAAGTAGTCATACAAACAAAAAACAAAAAAATAAAAAATTATACATAGAAATCATAAAACAGGACATTCACTCCTTGTTTATAGATATGGTAAAACAAAAAAAAAAAAAACAAAAAAGCAAACAATAACATAAAAAATAAGAAAGAAAATAATAATAATAAAGAACTAGAGAATAAGGAGTAATGCATAAGGTGTATTACAAAGATAATCCACCCGTTAATGCTGCTCTGCTCCAAAAAGGAAAGCCACTCAAGATATGTTGGAATGTATCAGAAGTACAACACCCTAACCCTGATTTTCAGTGGCACCCTTATATATTTAAAATAAAAATACACAGATAAATATAAAAAAAATAAAAATACATATATTATATGTTCTTTATGTGCAGAGGGCTGTTCTGTTGTGTTAAACCAAAAATAATAACAAAAATTTATTTCTTGTAATATTGTCACAATTCTTATAAAATATTCTTAATACTGTAAGAGGTTGCATTGAAATTCACTCAGGAACGTAATTAAGTTTAAGCTACAAACAAATACACAAACCAGCTGCAGTACACCGCTTCATTACATAATTTCAATAAATAATATATACATACTCAAACACACACATATACACATATATATATATATATGTATGTACATATATATACATAAATATAAACAAGCAAACATACATACACATATACACGCTCATACATTATTTATAAAATTTCATACTATCAAAATATCTGCACTAATTAACTTTGAGATTGCTGATCTAAGAGGAACAATTTAAATTTTTGACGGAAGTAATTAGATTACTTTAAAAAAAACGTACATTAATATTAATTTTCTACAAATATTTAGATTAATTATCGGCTTCCTTCCATAATTTGTTATTATTCACCCGAAAATTCACAAAACATGAACTTTAAAATAATTTACAATTTTATTACCGCACAATAGAAAACATGAAATATTGGTATATTTACGAGTACGAGTTCTGCCGTGACACTAGTGCTGCAGAAAGAGCTCGAAGAATTAATGATGTGTACGGCGCTGGTGTCGCAAAAGAAAGCACGGAACGTTTTTGGTTTCAACGTTTTCGTTCTGAAAAATGAAGAATTAAAGGCTATTGTGGAAGCGGATCCATCACAAAGCACTTCAGAGATAGCTGCAGGCTTTGGGGTAAGTGATAAAACTGTATTAATCCACTTGAAGCAAATCGGGAAAGTAAAAAAAAACTTGAATGATGGGATCATGAATTAAGTGAATCGAACTTGCAAACACGCGTCGACTGCTGTGTTACTTTACTCAACCGATACAAAAATGAAGGGATTTTAAATCGAATCATTAATTGTGATGAAAAGTGGACACTGTACGATAATCGGAAGCGCTCGTCGCAATGGCTGAAGACTGGAAACCCAGCCAAATTCTGCCCTAAACGAAAATTGACTCAGAAAAAGTTACTTGTGAGTGATTGATCGACTAGCGCCGGTGTCGCTCACTAAAGCTTTCTAAAATCTGGCCTAACGATTACGGCAGATATCTATTGTCTACAACTCCAAACCTTGAAGGAAGAACTAGCTGCTGAACAACCGACATTGGTCAATCGCTCTAGGCCACTGCTGCTTCACGACAACGCAAGACCACACACTGCACAACAAACAACCACTAAGTTGGATGAGCTACAATTGGAATGCGTTGCGCGTGGGCGCTCGCTGTAGCCAGCCGCGTTGATCTGCCGTTCGATAACGTACTGTCCCCAGTTCTAGCACGTCAGTGTGCTTTTGTAGACCATGTTAACAGCGAGGTCATTTAATTATGAATAGTAACACTATGTTGAATTATGTGCAAAGTGAGATTGATGTGAAAAATAGTGTGTTTAACGAAAGCAATGAAAGGGATATTACAGTGATAATGGATGTGCATATATATATAGTGTAGAAGTTTGACATGTACAGATAAACTTCCGAAACAATTTGGATTGGCAAAAATGTTAAAAGCAGAAAGTATTAAAAACGTCACGAAAATTAAGTACATAAATGCATGTAAGGTAGGTATTGATTCATTTTAATAGCGAAGAAAATACTGAGTCTTTTATACAGTGGAAGAGATTTAACGAGAATGGTTTTAAATGCCGAAAAACTTTAGAAATTAGTCAATCATATGGGGTCATATTAAAAGATATTGATCTAGAATTGAGCGAAGAAAAGATATTACTAGGAATTAAAAGTGAAACTTTAATTTTAGCAGTAAAAAGACTAAAGCGAAAGAACACTTATGACGGTCATTGGGAACCTAGCGAGTCTGTAAGAATATGCTTTAAGGGATCGTCATTACCGTCGTATGTTTACATCTATGACACTAGGGTAAAAGTGAGTCCTTACTTACTTACTTACCCAGTCTCGCAATGCTCCCGTTGTTGGCGATTTGGTCACTCGATTAGAATGTGCCCTTCTCTAAAAGTAATTGGTCCCAAATGTACAAAAAGTCATCCTAACTGTGAAACGACAACTTTCAAATGTAACAACTGTATGGGAAAACACATGGCAATGGCTAAAATTTGCCTTGTTTTCTTGAAAGAGAAATGAATTAGAGAACTCATGGCAGAATTTAACTTTTCCTACTGAAAAGCGCTTATGCTGTATGTCTCGCCGTCACCTCGACCACTGAATATAAAAAATGACCCACCTCTACTTACACATCCTACATCTGAAAATGAATCATCACAACGAGATAAACAGATTCCCGGGGCTAGTAATGTGTATACCGACGCCAGTGTTACGAAAACACCCCCGAAAAACGAGAAAAAGTTCTAAGTCACAGAAACGACGAAATAGAAGAAGGGCCCTCAAAGGACATGAACAAAATATAACTGAATTTTTTACCGAAGTTAGTGAAGAAGAAAGCAGAATGGACGGCAATCTCAGTGATGAGAATCGATCGAAATATAAAGAACAATTGTCTTGAAAATTATTTTTTAAAAATTAAAACAGAAGATATTTGAAGAGGAAAGTAGTCCGTGGGAAGACAAGATGAAAGGCTGTGGAAATATAATATTGGAGGCGTTAATATCAATAGTGTTGCAGTTTATTGCAGCCTTGATTACAGCCTTGTTGCAATTTCATACAACAATTATGGATAACAACAACTCACAAATGTATGTAAATGTGCTACAATGAATGCGCAAAGCATTCGACCTAAATGTACAGAGTTAGAAGTCCTATTAAATCGAGAAAAAATTCACATTGCTATTATAAGCGAAATTTGGTTAGACCCGGGTAGTCACCTTCACATTAGCCACTATAACGTCTATAGAAGAGATCGTGCTGCCAGATTTGGAGGTGTAGCTATATTGACTCACAGGTCAATTAAGGCAGAAAAGCATAATGTTGAACTGCTAAATTCACAAATTGAGATCCTTCATACTAGAATTTTAAATTGCAAACATATAGAAAATGTATACTCGTTATACTGCCCCACCATCCGCTCGTACCACTTTGAGAGACTGGGACCAAATCTTCAATCTTGCCAGACGAAAGACAATAATTACAGGAGATCCTAATGGCCACCACACCAACTGGTCAAATAGAACGGACTCACGAGGTGATCAAATTTTGGATTCCATTTTAGACAACAATTTTGTTTCACTGAATGACGGCTCACATACTAGAATTAAACTAGTTAACGGCATAGTACAAAAATTGCTCCTGACCTATCTCTTGCTTCTCTGGAATAGCTTTGAAGTTCAACTGGATAGTCCTAAATGAAAATTTGGGAAGTGAACATTTAATGATTAAGATTAAAACTAATATTGGCACATCTAATATCTATAAAAGAAAACGCAATTTTAAAAAGGCTGACTGGTTGCAGTATAAGACACGTATAAAGAGAAAGCTTGAAGGCTTTATATTACCAGATGACCACCAGTCTGCGTACGACGCTTTGATCGATATTATTGACGAGGCAACTAATAAGAGTATCCCGTTTATAAAAATATGTGAAAATCCTCTTCGCCAACAAAGGTTCACTCCTAGACCATATTGGAATCCGGATATCTTAAAAGCTGTAGCGGAACGACGTCGGGCACTTGCTGTTTTTAGAAGAAACCACACAAAACAAGGTCAGGTTGGCACAAAATATTATTCGTAGTAGTAAAAATAAAGCATAGCAAGGTTTTTGTGACAGCATTGGCAGTGTGTCAACTTCAAGTGAAATGTGGGCTAAAATGAAGTGGCTGAAGGGGTACAAGACAGCGAGAAGCAATATTACCCGCGAGTCAGCTGATTCCTTACTGTATAGTAGCACCTGATTATGCAGATCCACCGGCTCCTGTGTTCACTAGCGAGAACGTACATCTATCTTTACCTGTTTCTGTACATGAACTCGCGAACACAATTAAACTGTCCGATACAGCACCTGGCGCGGACGACATTTCGTACTCTATGATCAAGAACCTTCCAAACGCTGCTAAAGTTATTCTCGTGTCTTTATACAACAGATTTTTGCTTTCAAGGTTTGTACCAAGACAATGGAGAGATATAAAAATAATGCCTATACATAAACCGAAAATTAACAATATCTCAGATTCAGGTATAAGGCCTATAGCCCTTCTGTCTTGGCCATGCAAGATTTTGAAATTATTACGCGCAGATTGGAATGGTACCTTGAAAAAAAAAATAATTGATTACCAGATGAAACAGTAGGCTTTAGAAGATCGCGATCTTGCATGGACGTTTTGACTTGGTTAGTGTCACGAATACAGAGTGGCTTTGGTAACGGAGAGGCTACTGTAGGGTGTTTTGTTGATATCGACGGCGCATACTACAATGTCAATGTTGTAAGTCTTTTAGATGCGCTAGATAATCTAGGAGTGGGCACCGTAATATGTAATTACCTCTACCAATATTTGCACTCACGAAGGTTATTTATCGAACTAAGCAATGAAGAGTGTGTAAGCAGATTTACAGGAACCGGTATAGCACAAGGTGACCCCTTATCTCCATTATTATTTAACGCAGCAACTATCAATATCTGTAAAAGTCTGAATCAAGTATTTATATGTCAATACGCTGATGATTTTGTACTTTATACTAGCCGTAAAAATATAATGAATGCAGTGTCTGTTAGTCAAGATGCTCTAGTTGCTTTAAACTCTATGATAACAGATATCGGTTTAAACATTTCTTACAATAAAAAGAAAGTTTGCGTATTTACAAGAGGACAATCGAGAAACTCAAACAGTAGTAATATTACTCTAAACATCAACAATGAACATATTGAAAGAGTCGATAGTCTTAAATTATTTGGCGCGTGGCTGGACAGAAATTTAAAATGGCGTAGACACATAAATGAAACGAGGGAAAAACTAATTCATTTTCTAAACATCTTTAAAGTGTTAGCAGGTTTCAAATGGGGTGTACATTCAAAGCATTTAAGGCGTCTTTATATTTCATTAATTAGAAGCAGATTAGACTACAGTTGTTTCGTAAATGATAATAGTGTAAAAAGTAATTTATATAAACTAGATAAAGTACAGAATCAAGCGATGAGAGTGATAGGCGGATTTATAAGAAGCACCCCTATCCATGTGAAATGTGTCTACAACCACTGTTCATTCGTACAAGATATCTTGCGGTAAATAATTTAAGTCTAGGTCAATCAAAAATAATATAACAACGCGCGTTCTAGAAGAACTAAACAGTCAGTGTCAAGGCTTATACTGGAGGAGAAAGAAAGTTCCGTTACTGGTTCAAACTTATCCATACTTAATAATATTATAAATGTGAAAGTGTGTTTGTTTGTTTGTCCTTCTTTGACGTCGCAACAGAGCGTCGGCATGGCATGATTTTTTGTATGGGGATAGTTCGGTGGCTGTAGAGTGACATTGGATACTTTTTTCAGCGGAAAAACATATCATTCCCGTGGGAAAATAGAATATGTTTTAAAAGTTTGTCCTTCTTTCACGTCGCAACTCGCAACAGAGCGTCGGCATGGCATGCATTTTGGTGTGGGGATAGTTCGGTGGCTGTAGAGTGACATGGGCTATTTTTTCCACGGAAAAACATCTCATTCCCGTGGGAAAATCGAATATGTTGCACAAGTTTGTCCTTCTTTCCGGTCGCAACAGAGCGTTGGCATGGCATGATTTTTTGTATGGGGATAGTTCGGTGGCTGTAGAGTGACATAGGCTACTTTTTTCAGCGGAAAAACATATCATTCCCGTGGGAAAATCGAATATGTTGCAAAATTAAATTCAGCTAGGTGGCGGCACCGTGATTCTACAAGACGGACGACGGTACGATGGACGAACACAGAAGGTCAGAATATCTTGATTATTATGTCTTTTTACCAAAATTAAGATAAAAAATGTATAGATCTGTGTTTTTCCACGCAGGACCGGGAAGAGAGCGATAAAAAACATAAAATTCACCAGCTGATTTTCTTCAAACGTTTTGGTGCATTGTAATTCACAGAGTAGGCGATAACCTAACAGACAATATTAAGTAATCCGTTGATGCTCTGCCTACCCCGCAAGGGTTACATGCGTGATTATAAGTATGGATATTATGAATGAATCGAACATGAAACGAAACAATAAGAAAAATTGTGCAAAATTATAAGAAAAATATTTTTGAGAGTTCTTTTTTAACTAACGTATACATAGTTTAAATTGATTCCGCTAGATGTCGTTACTAGGTTTTTAAAACGCGGTAACGAAATGTTTCCTGACATGTACTTAACTCCCGCCGTTGAGCCGCGCGTCAACTTATAGTGCATACGGTACCTATACGCTTAAATTGTTTCTATTTCATAGCTTATTCGACTACCTGCTTTCGATTTCGGTTGATTGTTATTTGCTTTGTGATTTGGTTAAGGTTGAATGGATTTATATTGGCTTTCATTTTCGGATTTGTGTATTTTCTTGGATCGGTTTTGTTGATTTGGTTGGTATTCCTTTATACATATTTAGACTCTGGCTTTGATTTTGGATTTTGTTTATTTAGAATCGTGAATTGGTTTTTGTTGTTTTAGGTTGTTTAACAATATTTCAAAGGAATATTAATAGTATAGATAGTTTATACGGTACCTATACACTTACTTCTTTTTTCGTTGGTTTTTATATATTTATATTGACTACTGCTTTCGATTTCGGTTTTCTGCGATTTCACAAAGATTTGGTTTAAGTTGATTCGATTTTTTCGGCTATCTTTTCGGATTCGTGTTGTGTCTTGTATTGGTTTTGTTGTTTTGATTTTATAAAATATTTAAAAGGAATATTTATTCTTTTTAGATATATTAGACTTGCTTTTAAAAAAAATATTTAAAAGGAAATTTAATTCCTTTTAGGTATTTTAACGTTTTTTTTAATAAATAGTGTTTAGTTACTTCATAACGCCTCGCAAACGTAAGTGCAGCCTTTCAAGAGTATCTTCTCAAAGACAAGCGAAAAGATTAGCTCGATCGCTAGAATCTTTAGAAGATGCTGAACTGAGAAGGCAAGAACAAGCAGAGCCTTCAGGCTGCTTTTAGAGCATCTGAGACACCTTCTCAACGTTAGCAAAGGCGTCTTGAACAGACAGAGCGTCAGGCTGCTTTAAGAGCTTACGAAACACCTTATCAAAGTCAGCAAAGGCGTCTTGAACAGGCAGAGCGTCAAGCTACTTTAAGAGCTACTGAAACACCTGCTCAAAGTCAGCAAAAGCGTCTTGAACAGGCAGAGCGTCAAGCTACTTTAAGAGCTACTGAAACACCTGCTCAAAGTCAGCAAAGGCGTCTTGAACAGGCAGAGCATCAAGCTACTTTAAGAGCTACTGAAACACCGTATCAAAGTCAGCAAAGGCGTCTTGAACAGGCAGAGCGTCAATCTACTTTAAGAGCTACTGAAACACCTGCTCAAAGTCAGCAAAGGCTATTCGAACAAGCAGAACGTCAGGCCGCCTTTAGAGCCGCGGAAACACCTGATGAAACTCAACATAGACTCATTGAGCAAGCTGAACGTCAATCTACTATAAGGGCATCTGAAACACCAGAACAGACACTGGCGCGAAGAGATGCAAGTGCACAGCTCCAAGCTGAACGTCGACAAAATTTTCAAAGAAATAATTGGTCGGTTTTTAATGACGCAGCATTCAATTATGATCCGTTGATTTATTATAAAAGCGCTTTAAAATGGAAAGATGAGACCGCAGGCATGTGCTGTTCCAATGGCAAAGTGTCTCTTCCGTTTCTTGGGGAACCAGAAGAACCTTTGAAAATTCTCTTTTTATATGATGCTAATGAGTCACGGCGCTTTTTAAAAAGGATCCGGAAATATAACTCATGCTTTCAAATGACGTCCTTCGGAGTTGACCGGGAAATAATAATGCCGGGATTTTCGCCTACATTTACGTTGCAAGGGCAAATTTATCATAGAATAGGTTCATTTTTTCCAGTTGAAAACAAACAGCATACATTTTTACAAGTATATTTTATGGGTGACGAAGAAATTGAGGTAGACCGTCGCTGCCAATTTATCCAGGGAGTTGAGAGAGACACAGCGTTCAAAATTCAAAGATTCTTGCATGAACGTAACATTTTAGTCAAAACATTTAAAACTGCTTTTTACAATTATTTCATCAATTTTTGGTAGACATGTATGTGAAGGTAGAAAGTGAACGTCTCCGTTATATATCTTTAAATCAAAAAAAGCTGCGCGTTGAGAATTATATACATTTACAAGATGCAGTTTCTAGCGACGCCAATGTAAACCCCAGAGATTTAGGTAAAATGGTAATTCTGCCTTCATCATTCGTTAACAGTCCCCGCTACCTACATGATTACACACAAGACGCATTCGCCTATGTACGAACTTACGGAAGACCTGATCTTTTTGTTACTTTTACTTGCAATCCCACATGGAAAGAAGTAACCGAGGAGCTAATGCCGGGCCAAAAAAGTACTGACAGACACGATTTAGTTGCTAGAGTATTTAGATTAAAAGTACAAAAATTTATGTATGTAATTAACAAAGGGAATTTTCGGAGAGGTGCAGTGCTTCATGTATTCAATTGAATGGCAAAAAAAGAGGATTACCGCATGCCCACATTCTAATATGGCTTAAAGAGAAGTTGCGGCTCAGCCAAATA